CTCACCACTGCATGCAGCACGTTCTCAAGGGAGTGGAAGAAAAAGCAGAACAGTACCTAGAATATTGTATTAAATGCAGGATCCAATATTTGGCTAATAGATGGAAAACTTCTCTCACAAGATAGCTCTGAAATACCAGTTTTCAATAGCACAAAGTAATAATTTATTTTCTTAATTGGTTGAGATAATAACTTAGTATATATAACAATCACTGACCCTTCAGTCTAGCAGGATTTTTTTGGCACTGAATCCAGGAGTGCATATGGTAAATCCAGAAAAATTAAATCCAGAATAATTTTCAGTCCCTAAAAAAGACCCTTCATCTGTTGCTACAGTTGCTGCTGCTTAATTACCACACTTGCAAGTCTTATCCTAGAAAACACAGAAGATATATTTTAATCTAAAACGGTGTCTTCTGAGTAATCACAAATTCTAGAACCACTTTGATATGCAACATTAATAATACATTCAATTACCTTTAGCAAATCCTTGCTTTAAATCAATAATTCACGCACAATTTAGCATGACATTTAAGGACAGATCCAATTCCACCTGTTACTTGTCTAAGCAAGTGCTTAAGTACAGTATAAACCTAGTCCACCCTGCTGAAGTCCCAGAAAAAAAATACTCAAGCATAATTCTGTAACACACTGTGGGAAAGTGGGGTCCCACAGGGCTAGTTTCCTCACCTGCCTTTGGGTACGCTGCCCACCTGTCTCACCTACCATGCCTTATTGTTACTTGAGGTGTTAATTAAGGTGGGAGGCTGCCCATTCTTGCCCTGATGCCAGGGGGGCGCTATCTGCAGCTCCATTCCTTCCCGCTATCTGCAGCTCCATTCCTCCCCTACACTGCAGCCAAAACCCTTGCAGATGGCATCCACAGATGTTAACCTCATCAGCCCTACACTGGGCCCCAGAATCCTCCAATCTGGATCCCTCCAATCAGGTGGCCTACTCTGCCCTCATTCAGGGCTGGCTAGCTCCCTGAACTCTTTCTCCCCTCGGGCATGGTCCCCCAGGACCTTTGGCCACACAGGCCCTGGCCTCACCTCTAAGGCCAATTGGAAACCCCAGGCCCTCAGCTCTGGGCCTCCCTCATAGTGGGCCCCTAGCCCTTTTGACCGTTCTGGTCCTGGCCCCAGCACTGATCAGTTGAGGGTACTTTAAGTCAGGCTTCTGAGTCTATAGCCCACTCACTAACCTGGGTCTGCTTTCTTAGCCCTATTATCAGGTGACTCACCCAGTTGTGGGAGTTGGGGTTATTAAGGCACCCCAACCCGCCTTTCACCAGGGTGGCAACTGGCCTGGTATTTCCTGAAGGTCCTCTGTACCACTGGGAGCCCCACCAGGCCACCCACTCCTGGCAGGGTAGTTTTAAGTAATGCCCAGGACCAGGAGCCTCCAATGCATCCCCATAAGCTCCTGCCCTTACCTCCAGGATGTTGCATACTGCCTGGCCTGCCAGCAGCAAACTGCTCTGTTTACACAGGCAGCCAGGGGTCTAAAATGGCCGTCACAGTCAAGCACCTGCTGGCTGCTTGGCTCAGCCTTTAAAGTGTCAGGCATCAACAGTGCCCTGCCACACACCATCTCAGCCTTATGGGTGAGTCACCAAAAACAGTGAAGAGAAGGACCCATCCCCATTTTGCATTGTTTTTCAGGCACTGGAACAGGGTGGAATAGGATCACACTTAAATGGCAAAGTGGACATCGATGTCTAAAAGGTGAAATAGGATTTGCCCTTAATATCATGATTTGTTTAGCTTGATACACATTAGGGAATTAGTAATTTTGTTCTTTCCTGAAAAAAATCTGAACAGTGAGAGAGTGTTTAACATTGTTCTCCTGACAACACAGCAGCATCTCCCATGGTGGAATAAACGCTTCAAACCTACCGATATACAGACTTTTTGTAGTTAACAACAAAAGACAAGTGACAAGTGAAATCTGTACATTTTCTAAAACAATTGGGAGTGACATTCACTTCCGTGCAGAAAGTTGAGGCTACTGAAGGCAACAGGTAGATCAGATTCACTGGAGTTTCCACACGTTCTATGCACCGTAGCATGTTCATGTGTGCTGCTACAAAAAGGGTAAATTATGGAATCCAATGGCCCCACCCTGTCACAGGGAACATGGTAGGGCAAAGACTGGAGTTGCTATTTCAGATCAGATCAAAGTAGTTGCAATAACAGACTGTATTGATGCCCTTTGGTTACAGGCTAGAACCCAGACCAAAGGGCACCAACACAGTCTGTTATTGCAACTACTGCCTACTCCCCTGTCTAAAAACACTGGTAAACCAAAAACTTGGATTTTGTTTAAATAACCATACACTTACGGTCTGCAATCAGAAAGGAGAAAAATTTCTTGCACTCTACTATTCCCAATGAAGTACTTGCACAAGTCATCCAGAGACCTTCAGAAAGCCATTTTGTAAGAACAGCTTCTTTTGCAGTGCTGGAAAATTTCCATTTGTTGGACAGAGTAATAACAACTAAAATGATGAACCCAGATAGAGCAAGAAGCAATGAAGAAATTTGTGAACATAATGATGCCATTCTTCAGTGAGAAGCTGGTTTTCAAAGTAGTCACCCGAAGATTCTGGTATCAGAACCCTATTAAAAATAGATTACATATGAAATATATCAGTCATTGTTTAAATTAGTCTCTTTTCTTGTTCCCTACATAAACAACCTAACACTGCAACTATCTGCAAAATTGTTTAACAGTATAGTACATGTTTAAAGTTTATCTTAGCCTCTAAAGAAATGCTCAAAACAATCCAAACATTTTAGCACACTTTTACAGAATGCTAATTTTCTTTATCTTTATAATATTTGCCATAAAACAGGCATTCCTATATTTGAATTTGCAGTGTCATATTTCCATTTCTGTTTACAAACTGAAATTTATTTTAAAGCAATCAAATACAAGAATAAAAATAAGTGGATTAATTATACACCACCAGATTAAACTCTATTAAACTGCAAATTTCAAACAAAATGAACACTAATACTTACGTTTACAGAAATGTTTTCTGTCTATTGCATTTGCCTTTCTGCTAGAAATAAATGTCAGCACTTTGTGAGGGTCAGTTTGATCAAACAAGAGTAAATGTTTTGTACTATATTAAGACCTTTCCCCCTACAACTAAAAATCAAGGCTTCCCTGCCAGATCATTGGCTGGTGGTCAAGCATTCAAACACAGTATTTCCTTCCAACATAGCTTCAGTAAAATGAACAAATTAAAGCAAATAAAAAGCAGTTGCAATAGTGGATAAGCTAAGAGCCAAAGGTTCTCAAACTACTCCGATGATCACTTGATGGCACTTTCATAAGAGCTGGTTGGTCAAAAAATATCAGAGACCCTAGGCTTTCAGCTGTTAAACTGTATTAAAAGATTGAAATTGATGTTCAGTATCTTCCTAATAACAGATTCTATGCAACAATATCTTTGGTTATCACGGGGATTTTATGCAAAGTTGAATAAGAAGGAAAATAGCTCACGGTTGCAGTTAAGAAAGAAAATGGTTCAAAACGGGTACACTTTTAAAATTTCCTCTCAGCTTGAACCACTTTTTAGAGTCCAAGTTAAATAATTCAGGCTCTAGCTCAGTTTTCCACTCAAATCCTATGGCCTAGGGTAAGAATTTAGTTATAAGATCAGGTTCATTCTATGTTTACATTGTTTTATATTGTACCATAAAGGTCCAGTTGCATATTTAAAAAGCAAACATTTTTTTCCTTAATGCTTTTAATGCTGCAATCCATAAACATATATTTAGTGATCAACAAAGGAAATCTGTGATAAAGTCAACACTTAAAACAATGTAACAAGATCAACAGACTTTACAGCAAAGTCTGGTAACTCATAAGAATATGACATACGTGTCTACGTAGTGCAGGGGCACAAACTGTGACACCAACACTACTGTGTAGTAGCAACAAGCTACTGCACAGTAGGGTTGGAAATGACCCGAGCGCCACCAGGACTGCAGAGTAACAGCAGTCACTTTGCAGTCATTTAGTACTAAACGACTGCGCAGGAACAACTGTGCAGTCAGGCGCACATGTAGATGCTCCTGCTGGCTCAGACCAATGGTTCATCCAGCCCAGTATCCTGTCTCCAAAAGTGGCAGGAGCAGATGCTTTAGCGCAGGGCTGCTTAAACTCTAGTCCGTGGAATCTGTCCCGCAGGCGTCCCCCTGGTTTGGGACAGCCGGCAGCAGGGGGCTCTGGTAGGGTGGCCATCATAGAGTACAGTCCAGTTTTCCTCTGTCCTCTATTGATACAAAACCCAACGCCTTTATGTCCTCTTATTTTTCTCTTCAAGAAAGAGAAAAATTGTTGTGTTTTGTATCAATAGAGAACAGAGCAGAAAGAAACCGGAATGTCCTCTAAGACAGCCACCCCAGGCGCTGTCAGTACTCCCACCCCTTCCTGTGGCCAAAATCCTGAGCCCTGCTGGGCCATGACCAAATCAGAGCCAGGTCATGCCCCCTTCTCAACGGGCTGCTGGGTTAGGGCCAGGCCACACTGTCTTCCCTTCTTCTGGCCAGGTTGGGGCTGGGTCACAACACACGGCCTTCCTCCCCCGGGGCCATGCCAAGCCCCGCCGTGCAGACAGTCGAGGGCCAGCCATCCCTTTGCCCCCACAGGGCTGGATTGGGCTCAGGTCACAGCCCCTTCGCCTGTGAAGCCAGGCTGGGGCTGCCCCCGGCCCCCCTCCACTGCCAGCCGAGGCCGAGCACTCTCAGGGCACTGCTGCACGGGAAGAGCGCTGAACCAGACACAGCTCGACTGACGATCACCGTTCATTCCCTTCCCTTCGCCCCGGAAGCGCTCCCCTGCCCCACTCAACATAGCCGCCGCGAGCGCCACCGGCGGCGCAGCCCCTCCCAACATGGCGGGCGGG